TTAGTAAGGCAGTGTTCCACTTCTTAGAGCCTATGCCCACACAGACTGGCAGCCTCTATGGAGGAACCAAACTTCATTCATCTTTAATGTCACCTGTTCTCCGTGGAATGCAAGAACACAGAATGCCCAGTGAACTGAGCCCTGACCTGAGAAAAACCACACTTCCCAGTTTTAACCTGTGTACACTTATGTTTTTCAGGCTGGATATGGCTGATTGAGTGAGTCTCTAGTCCTAACAAAATAAGGAAGTATTTCTCCATTTAAAATGGACACGTTATGTTTCAGCAGACTTGAAGTTAAATGCTTTTACAATGAAGCTGTCGTTAAACAGAGGGGATCAGGATCCCCAGCTTGGAAGAGGAAGTATTTTTCCCATTTACTGTAATTACACATGTGAACATATGTGCACAGACACATGCCCACACACTGCTTTACTTTTACAAAAAGAGACTGGTGTCACCAGACTGTTCAGACATACTGGATTTTTATCTGGAAATTACCAGAGGCCCCTGAAAGTAGGCACAGGGGCAGGAAACTGCATACAGCACAGTAAGTATTCCAGTCTCAAACATATACCAGTGAACGAAAGGTGACTCTGCCCCGTCTCTTATTTACTTGTTTATTTGTTTATTTGCGCCTGTGCCTCATGCAGCCCAGTCTGCATAAGGCACAAATTCCTTATATATCTTAGGATGAGCTTGAAAATTCTGATTCTCCCACCTCTCTCTCCCAGGTGCTAGAATTACAGGTGTGTGGTAACATGCCTGGCATTTCTGTTTCATTTTACCTTTTGAGACAGGGTGGCTCTGTAGCCCAAGCTGGAATGACTGCAGAAAACAAGCTGACATTTGCTACTGAAGGTGGAGATGTGAATCCCGCACAGCACAGGAATTGTATTCCCATGCCTACAGCCAAACTGTCTAATTCATTAAGAACCTAACTCACTAAGCCCAGGCTGGCCTGGCACTTAGTAAATGGGCCAGATTGGCCTCAAGCTCATGTTAATCTTCCTGCCTCAGCCTCCCAAGTATTAAGATTAAAAACATGTACCACCATAGCTGGCAAATGGTATTTTCTATTTTTTTGTTTGTTTGTTTTTTCATTACTGGGGACTGAACTCAGGGCTATCTCACGAGCTACAGTGCCATTTAGGCCTTCTCCGTTGTTGTGTTTTTGAGTCTTGCTATGTAGTACAGGTTAGTCTCAAACCCATGACAATCATCCTGCCCTAGCTTCACTAGGAAAGGGCATTTAAGCATGAATCATCATGTCTAGCAAAGCCCTAGCATCTCTATCTTATCTATCTATCTATCTATCTATCTATCTATCTATCTATCTATCTAT